ACATCTCAATTCTACAACTTCCCTGAAGATGCCACGGACTATACAAGAAACCGAAACCCGAAAGCCTCAACCCAAACTCTGAATCATGAGAACCGCTGCTGGGACTCTGAGCCGCAAAGCCCAAAACCCAAACTCAAGCAGGGAAGTAAACAACGTTTGGGATCCCGCGCTTAACTTAACTCCTAACTCATAACTTGGCTACTCTGCACCCTCAAAGACTTTGGGCATCCCCAAAAGTGCTGGGATTACGTTGCGAAGGATCTTGGACTGAAGGTGATCTGGCTTGTTTATGGAGCGTCTTGGGCTCAACCTGGCAAGTAATCTTTTGTGGCCTCATGACTCACCAAAAGTGGGCTGGAGCATTCCCTCTAAGAGCCTCTACTACACCCATAATCTCCTAAAAACTTGCCATCACATCCCACGCCAGACATGACCTCTGAAGGCGGCTACGTGCAACTTGTTGATTCGCTCGCCACCACTTTGAAGCCTAAGGTGACATATCCTGAAGCCCTTAGCCAAACACCTCAACACAAACCCTTGACATATTTGGTTGTTCCGCCCAGAACCTACCACCAACCCCGAAACACTTTCAAACTCTCATCTGCTGCAATAGGTTCCTCAAGGTGACAGCGCGGATAAGATCCTCCAGGTCAGGGGGAATCATTGAGACTTTAGGGCTTTGTAGAAGAGGCAAGCAGCCAGTTCTCGTGAGAAACACGGGAAAGACAATGGTGAAATCCTAAGTTGAAAGTTTCCTACAACCTGTACTCCAACTTTTAATGGGCGGGCAATGCGATGCAGCATGGGCTGGGGCCTGGGCTGCGTGTAGGTCGTAGCCTCTTCAAAGAGATACACCCGTACGTACGGGTAGCTCTCTAACTAGGGCAATCAGTTATAAGCTTCCAACTTGTTGGATTCGGCCTCCGGCTATCCACATTGGCTTTGGGCAAATGAGCTCAAGGAAGCCTGTGGCCTTCTTAGGGCTGCGGGATCTAACGTTCTGCGGGCTCACTTGACCGGCGCATCTTCTCACCGATAACTTCCCACATCCTCTCGTCAGAAGTATTGCTTTCCGCGGGTTCTGGGTACGCGCTCTCGTGCAGAGCATCCGTGCATTTTAGCTCGAAGTCTTGTTCTCTTTTCCGGAAAAGTTCATGCCGCAACTGCGCAAGGCTTGGACAGAAGACCAGACGATCTTGTTCTTTCATCATAGGCCCATGTTGTTCTCATTGGGTATGAGATTTTGCCTTCTTTGCTTTGTGAATGGTCAGCTTCCTCGGCTGGAGCTTGCGAGCTGAGGAACTCCCGTGCAGTTTTGGTGGTTGGGGTCTCAAAGAGTTGGCAGATGAGGGCTGGATTTCAAGCACTTTGTGTAGGCTTTGTAGATATGTTGTTTTGGCTTCTTGAAGGAAAACGTTGGGAAACCCAAAACTTCAAACTGTAGGTCATTCATGTCATTCCGACGACGCGGTGCAGACACTTCACAATCGATGGAGCCACAACAGCCTTAGATCCTTGAACGCCACAGGCACTGGCAACCAAACACCGAACCCACATAACAAACAGCCCCCAAAGATTTGAAATATTACACCCTAAAACAGTTTAGGGTTTAGGGTCTGAGGTCCTGAATCGTGAGCCCCTAATGATCCGACATGCGAGCCCAAAATCCTTCTCCACGTTGAGATTGGTCAGGGTATTCAATCGTATCCTGGGGCACTGCTAGGCTGCCGGTTGCCAGCTTTGGATGCACAGCTTTGTCTTTTTTGTTTCACTTCCGGGTTCAGGGTTTAATGCTTTGGGTGTGAGGGGTTCACCGCTTGGGGGTTCAAGTGCTTCAGGCCTTAGGCTTAGCCTTAAGGATCTTAAGGATGCCTGAGAAATACTTGGGATGATAGAGTCTAGGGTTTACCCCTCTTCACCTACGTCTTTAAGGACACATCATAAACGTGGAACAGAAAACCATACTCCGAAACCCCGAACCCTGGCCGGGATCAACGGGGCAGGTGGGGATTGTACTCAACATGATCACGCTAGACCTCACAACCAAGCTTTGTTTCAAGTCCTCCCCATTCCAGCGCATAATTATGGCCCCGACATGACTACTGCAAGACAGGCCTTTTATGAGCCTTCAGTTGCCCTCCTTTTGTTAATCTTAAACCTGTACCAAAACATCCCTACACCTCTGGAAAGCTGAACCCCTACGGATGTAGAAGTCTGAAAAGGAACATAATCTCTTTGTAACCCTTACGACAGCTCAATGCACCTGCAAACCAAATAGAAAACCCTACAGGCCCCTACATGCAATCTCTACGTTCTATCACACCTACATTGGACCATGCTGAATTTCATACTCAGTTGCACTTTTACCCTAATTCAGCACCTACTCAAGCATCCAGGAGTCAGTTTCGGAACCGTTGCAGGGACCAACTCGTGCTCATCCTCAGAAATCGGCTGGAGACCGCTGTGCGAGATGGACCTTCAAAGCTGATGGCTGAGGGTTAAGCGGCTTTTGAAGGTTTAGGATTTGTGTTCAACCTTTCTTAGGAAGAACATACCTAGTATCCTCCTACAGGACAGCATACCACATTTTGCAGTCTTGGTATTTCACGAGATTGATGACTTGCTGGTGTCCATGGCGGTCGCAGGGACAGCAGCAGCACTAGCAGCAGCAACCGCCGCCTCAACAGGGGGCAGCAGCAGCAGCAAGCGCAGCAGCAATGATAATGAACGTGATAACGAGATAGATCACATCAGGTTGCCATTGTCTACGCCATGGAAGTGGTACGGGGACTGACATGCATTGCAGCATCCTCTGCATCAGCAGGAGCAGCAGTCGAAGAAGTGAGAGTAGTGGCGTGAAGTGGCGGTCGTGGTCGCCAATGGCAGCTGCGGTGGCGATAGCATCAGTCTCATGTTGCATAGGGTTGTCAAAGGCCGTACAGATTTAAAATGAAAAGGGAGCATGGGAGGTAAGGCACGTCCAGCATCCTTCAATTAGATGGGTCAAACTTCCTTCCACCTTGAATATATTGCTCTTTAGTGTCAAATTCGTGGGCCAATCACTCCTTAGAGTAGAAGGTGCCCCTTGAAACTAGCTTCCTCGCAAGTAAATGCCGATTGATAGCAACATTGCCTCGTAAACTCCTGGAGGGGGTGGCAAGGTAGGACTTGACCAGTAAGATTCAGCCTGCCTATCCCTGAAATGGAGCTAAGTCGAAAGCACCTGAAACTTGAATCATGGTTCCATGATCTGCCTCGGATTTGGGCTTGTGAGCTCGCGATCTAAGCCGCGAACTTAATGCCTGACTGCTCGGGTCCCCACGCCAATGACTTCCAACAATCGCAACCTTGACTGAAACTCAAACAAACTTCAGTATCAGCAGTGATCATCCTCCTTATAATTATAGTTCCACCAATTGAAAGGAACGTGGTTACTCAGAACAAAACAGTAGTCGTGGCAACAAAGGCGCAAACCCCAAACCTGAACCAGAGGCCCCACGCTTAAAATCGTACGTCACTGGGCCCTCAAGCCCCTGAACAGGCCTTTTCGCCCCTGAACCCTCATCGAAACCCCAAACCCTGAAACCTGAAGATTAGCCATGCCCGGGCGCATTGGAGACATGGGGTACTCTGGCCCTGCAGAAACCACCTCATCTCAAGTGGGCACTTCAAAAAAGGGTTTCTATTGGCTTCCGAGGATGATGTGTTTGACATATTTCGGTCTTGCAAAAAGCTTCCTGAAAATCTTTTGGGCTGTCAAGGCGCGCTTGGTCTCATTCAAGGGGTGTCTGGTTTGAGGCCACGAGGGGCGTTTCTCAAAACCAAGGACCCCCAGAAGATGTGTAAGGATTGTAAAAGGCATTCTGGTTTTCCTCAAACCCGACGTGAATTGCTGAAAGCAGGGCTATGCCCTCTCTTGAAGAAGCCTAGGACAATCCAGAGGCATAAGCCAGTTGAAATAATGCTTTAGATAGATTATAAGGATCTCTGAAGGCATTTAATGTTAAGTGCGCCAAACAATTTATCCATGGATGGTCTCGCAGGGCATCGAGCCCCAGACCTGTCCCAACAGATTCCGAAAGCCTCACAGTTTTGGTTGAAAGTTTCGCTTTTGGAGTTCTTGTTGTGGGTGGCAGTTTAGAATTTAGTTTGTAAGATGTAGGCTAGGGTGTTGCAATTATGGTTTCACGGGGGTTTGGGGTTGCCAAAGTCCGCACCCTACGACCATCCCCATGCAATTGGTGTGGAAACCCTGTATGTCCGCTGCATACTGCCAACCCTGAAATCCATACAAGTCCTGTCAACGCTAGTCGTTATAAAACGCACAACAGCCGTTTACGGCCATGAAATGCCTCCTTTGGAGGCAGGCCATCCGCCCCACAGCTGGAACAGCAAGCGCAGTCGATCGACATGAGCTTCCGCAAATCAGGGCATGTGGAGGTTTGTGATGGCTTGAAGTTGATGGAATTGAACAGTTATTGCAGATACTGGGAGCGATGAAAGTGGCCTTTTACAGAGAGTTAGGGGGCTCATATCCGGATTGTTTTCAACCCCTCTAGAACTATCACGAAGCTTGTGCTTCAAGACTCTGAATATCAACATGCGTGCACATGTCAAAAAAACCCCAAAACCCTGAAATTGAGTGTGTGAATACGGGGGCTTCCAGGATTGTACGGCTAGCGTGATGTACCTTGATGCCCTGTTTTTCTGGAGGCTATTGCGCCAGCTGTACGTGTAGTTTCACCTCCGTGGGGTCCTTTTTCCATTTTCCATACCCCCTCACCATTTTGGGGACTCCCCGCAATCATGAGAAACTCTACGCAGATACGCATCCCAGCCACCATAACACCCGATCTCAACTCTGAGTCCAAATCCTAAACCCTTTGAGGAGCTCGGAAAATGGCGCATGTTTAGAGCCTGACATTGCCGGATGTGCAAACCATGCAACACAAAAAAAATGTGCAAGCGACGCAGGTCGATTTTCTCGACGCTGTTTGTGGTCACTCTGACATGTCCTGCATTTCTGGATGAAACTTGCTGACTTCCTTCCAAAAGCTTTCTCGCAGGCGATTCTCGTCCATTTCGGCTTCTTTCTCGAACTCCAAGGTGACCTGATTCGGCGCCGCCATTTCCCTGGAGTGATTTGGATTTTTTCTAAACCAATTGCTTTGGAGTGCCTGGATAGCACAAATGCGGTCCTTGGGGTTGAATTTCAACATTCGCCGCAAAGCGTTCATGGCCTCGGCCGTGACTCCAGGGAAGTGCAAGCCCCTGCCTTCGCGCGCTGCGAAGGAACGAATGTACCTCTTTGCATCTTCACAGTCTAGTTGCTCAATGTCCGCCCGCTCTGGGGTTCCCAGGAGAGCGGGAAGCATGAGGATCCCAGAAACAACGGCCCCCGATCCTGAACTTGTATGCTTTGCCTCATGCCCAGGAGCTCGGCAAGGATGCAGCCGACTGACCACATGTCAATGGCCTGTGTGTAGTGCCTTTGGAGTAAGATCAACTCGGGGGCTCTCCAAGATCTTGTCACCACGTGGTCTGTGAGGTCCCTCCTCAAACGCTTCGGATTCGAACATTCGGGCTCGGGCTCGCCATCGACTACCCGACTCAAGCCGAAGTCGCAAATCTTGATCGACAAGTTTTTGCGGGCATTCTGTCCATGCTGGTTAAGGAGGCAGTTGGCCGGCTTCAGATCGCGGTGCCAAAACCCTGCCGAGTGAAGGTACTTGAGCCCACAGAGCAAGGTGTACAGCAGCTTTTTGATGCGGTCTGTACGCAGCGCCACATCTGTATGGAAAAGCTTGTCGAGGTCGGAGTCGCAAGCTTCCATCACAAGGTAAACATCATCAAGAGTGTTAACATTGCCGGGAGCGACGACGTCGCAGATCTTCACAATGTTTTCATGGTGCAGTTGCGCAAGGATTGCAACCTCACGGAGAGCTCGCTTGCAATCCTCGGGGTTCCACGTGAAAATTTGTGCCATCCTCTTGATGGCCACTAAGGTGGGCTTCTTGTGGCTGAGCAGCTCCTCCTTGCGAACAGTGCCATATGTGCCTGCACCGAGGAGCTCGCCCACCTTCTAATTGCTTGGGATCAGCCAATCAGCCCCGGGCTCTGGCCCCACAGGCACCTGCTCCTCAATCTCGTGGGGCGAGTTTTTGCTTTGAGTGGCGACAGTCGCAGAGCGCTCCGGACGCGTCAACCCCAACTTGTCGCACAGGTCGTTGATCCTGTCCCCCTGTTTCCTCAACTTCTTGATGATGCGTTGCATCTCCGACAACTCATTCAGCAAGGAGTCATGGAAGTCTTTCGCCGGCTTCTTGGCTATGTCCTGCAGGTGGTCTGCATTTGTCGGCGAAGCCCTCCCATTTTTCCTGGGTTTCTGGCTAATCAAATCGGCTGGGATGCAACCCCAATGGCAAACTCGCCGGAGTCGTGTCTTCACCAGCAGCGGCATGGCCACGGCATCGAAATCCTGCGGGTAAAGCTGCATGAGCTGCTGCGTCTGGATGATACCTTCTGTTTTTAGCGACGAAAAGGATCGTCTAATAATTTCGTCTTCCAGGTCGTGCCCGATCTCCTCAAGCAGATCCTGCACCAACGCTGGGCGCAGTTGTGCCTCTCGCGGCTTCGGCTGCTCTTCATTCGAGCTGCTGCACCTCCGCCTCTTTTGGCTTGCAGCCATGCTCTTTGCAGAAGTATAATATTGTTGTTATAGCGCGAATATTGTAATTGTCTGACTACAGTTTGCCTATTAGGTCTCTGAAGTTGTGATGCATGTGAGCTCGAGGGCACGTTCACTCTGCTTTGAGCTTGCTACCGGCACGGACCTCCCACAGCGAAAGTCTGAAAGCTCGGGGAGTTAGAGGTACTCAACCTTCATTAACTTTAACGTCCAACCTAGCTTATCCCGACAGGAATCTGTGAAGATGATACAATCTGTTTGTCATTCGAACTTCAGAGAGAGCGTGCGTTTGGGTCCCGAAATGAAAAGCAGACAGTCAGACAGTCAGACAGTCAGATCCGAATAGCAGACAGTCAGACACTCAGACAGTCAGACCCGAAAAGCAGACAATCAGACACTCAGACAGTCAGACCCGAAAAGCAGACAATCAGACAGTCAGACCCGGCAGGCAGACAGTCAGACAC